GCTCTAGCTGATTTTAAATTCAAGGAGCAAACCTTTGATGCTGCAGTGGGAACAGCACCAGGATTGTAGTGAAGCGTGTGTCTCCTTTCTCATTGCAGTGGTTGTAGAGAGGAGCAGGCTTGCCCTGGAAAGTGAACCACTTCAAATCTTCAGATGGAGAAGGAGGGGATGCAGGGTTTGTTCATCTCAAAATGAGTAGAACAGCCCCAAGGTAAAATATGGAGGGGTCTACATACACCCACCCCTTATAAATACCCCCCAGTGCAATCTGTAGGCAATCACTGCACACCAGCTGACAGTGCTGCTGGCAGATAGAGCAGATAATGCCACAGTTGTGCTTCCCCTCCCCTCAGCCCTGCCATTTGGCTTTCTCTTCTCTTCCCTTCTTTAGAAATGTATGGTAAACAGATCATCCTCAAGTCTCCCAGCCCACTTTCATATTGGATCGAAATTCATCAGTTCAAAAGTTACTGCCAGTAGAAAAATAAATGCAACTGCATGAGCCTTGATCCCTTTGAGAAACCAGAGCAACTTCTGCAGTGGAGGCACAGGTGGGGTGTTGGTGAGTTACAGAGCACCTGGCAGAAGAGACAAGGGAGCGTAAGGAGACAAATTCCCCAGGTGAGGCCAACCCACCAGTGTCAAACCCCAATTTCTCCTCTATATCCTATTGCTGCCAAGTGCACAGACCCATAAACTTGTCTGTGGCCACCACTGCTGACTTTATCCTATGTAGGGACATGTGCTCTGAACCATTTTCCTCCTTCCCTTGTGCCTGACCAAACTTTTTCAGCTACATGCCTGCTTATGAGTATCCTGTGGCTTGCCTGGTGACCCTGTACTTAAAAGCTGCTGCTACATGAGCTGCATGGTTTTCCACTTACGAAAGACAGGCTGGCAAGGTGGCTATAGGAAGGCAGAGGAGCAGCTGGGTCCTCACCCAAATTCTTTATCCTGGTCCTTCTTCCTTGGACTATCCTTTCTCTGCACCTCAACATATTTCAGCATCTGCAAAGCGCAGGTCCCCAGTGTGGAAGAAGACATCATGCCCACCTCTTTCACCTTTAAGGCTTAAAGTCTGCTGTTGCCACATGCATTTTCCCATGTACTAGTCTACAAAAAGCCAAAATATGGTATCACTCTTCCAGCTGAGAGACAAAAAAGCATCCTCCTGCTCAGATCATTAAAGCAAAGCCAACTAAATTAGCTGCCCTGGGGATCAGATGAAGGCCTGGAAAATGTAAAAAATATTAAAGGGGGAAAAACCACAACTATTGACACTGGTAAATGTGTCTTAATTAAAACTTTTGAAAGCACAGTTCAAACACACTCCAGTCATTCTCCAAGCCCCTGCAAAAGTTAATGAGATGAATTTTTCTTACAGTCCCCCATTGATCCATGAAGTGCAAAGAGGGAATCAGAATTGCAAATGAAAAATTGTGGGTGCAGGACTAGATGCTGATTGCATTTACAGGAGTGTAATTCCAACATGACCCCTTGCAGACCCCACTGGCAATATTCCAGGAAGCCATGGTGACAACTACCGGATTGTGCCATGGGGCCAAAGGTGTGCCTTGAATGACAGAAGCAAAAAGTGATGCTGAAAAAGTCCACTTCATGCACCAAATGTCATCAAAATCAAAATCAATCAAAAAAAGGTACCGCATTTTTGCCTCTTCAATGGAAAAGGAGGAGATAATTACATCTTTGACTTATGGATAATAATAGTTGGGGGGTTTTTTAATTTTAATCAGAAAATTCTCCCCACAGTTGCACACTCTTTGCAAGCTTGTAATAATGCAGCCCAACAGTGGGAGAATGAACAGACTCTGCAAACTTCCTTGCAGAAAAAAGAGCAGACTTGGTCTTCCACAATTTGCAATAAATATCTCTTACTCGCGCAAAACCAAACACGAGGGTTCTTCAGGCATGCAAGTCTTTTAAGATCTGTTTAACCCAGCTTAATGCAGAAAGATCACAAGCTTGATTTAGACTGCACCAGGGCTAGCTATTTGCTTAAAGCAAATTCTCTGTTTACCCTGGGATAATCAGCGAGCCTTTCCTTGCCCGCTTACTCTCATCCTCTCCCTGTTCAGGATTTCTGCTCACACAGGCACAGCCACACAGTGGGAAATTTAGGGAGTGGCAACCACCCCACAGAGTGCCCCACATGCCCTGTGCTGGTCTGAAGGAGGTGGTCTACACATGCATTCCAGGGAAAGTGGGAGAAATTCCCATCAGCGACCCTGAGAGAGCTTAAATGAGACAAGGATCTGTCTAATTTTCCTGGGCTGGACGTCAGATGAGACATCACACACATACTCCTGCCAACACAGGGATTTGGGACACAAAGCAGTGTCCCAGGAGATAGCACCTGGTTGGAATGAGACACGGCAAAGGGACAACTGTCCCAGTCTCCAGTCACTGCTTCCTCCACTGCACAAAAATTCCCAAAGAAAAATAACAACTCTTTGCATATCATGAGCTTGGAGGAGTTTGCTATTGTTTGACAGTTATTGGGATGGGGAGGTTTTTTGTGGGTTTGGGGGTTTTTTGGTTTGTTTTGGGTTGGGTTTTTTTTTACATAATAGAACCTAGCACTATTAATACTACTGCTCATTAGTGAGCACTCTGTTACTTCCTAGGAGAAAAGAACTGGAGAAACTTCCTCAGCAGAGTCATAAAAGTGTCATTAGGAAAAAGAACAGTTGGTTTGGAAGAGCTGTAAATGAGTGATTTTATGGAAAGAAGAGGAGAGGAACGAAGGCAGGAAAAAAGTGCCTTCTGCAGACCTTAAGCCACTGTTTAGCATTATAAACCCTGTGAACAGTAAAACAGTGCTCTTCAGGAAAGAGCAGGTCCCGAGTTCTCCAGGACAAAGTCTGCGGCAGCCCAGGTGCCACCGCAGCGGGACAGCAGAAGGCAGAACAAGCCAGGTTTGCATCAGACCATGGGCACGGGTGCCCTGACACCCAGAGCACACTCCCCTCTGCCCTAGGGACCACCAGACACCCAAGAGCTGATCTGGCAAAGCCACAGGCAACCTCCTAGGCAAGAAGAGAGCTCAGGGCATTGCTTGTTTTGGATAAAGCTGAAACAGGGCCACTGCCCCTGGGGTCTGTCCCTACTCCACTGGGGACAACTCTGCTCTGTGTGAGGTTTGCTCTTGCCTTTGGCTTCTGTGCAGAGGAAGGGGCTTCACAGAAGGGCACCCCAATCTCCCCAGCACTCAGGTCAGAGGCAATACAGCAGCAGCCACTCGAGATGCTCTGTGGGTGCCTGGACCAGACAAGCCTGGGCTCCAGCACAGCAGATTAACTTCTGGTGCCCTCTAGTGCCAACAGTTAAGTAAGGTGGCCTCGCACAGAGCTGGGAGGGAGGAGGGCTGTGGGTGCTGGAGTTGCATCTCACCACCTCTCTGTCTGTTAGTCATCGTCCCCACTCGCACCAAACCCTGACAAAGGGCTGCTAGTGGTGCCCCAAAGGGCTCGTTTTAAGCAAGGAAAATCTACGGTCTAGAAAGATCCCCTCAAATCCTTGAACAGATCCTCGCACTGGGCCCCTTTTGACTCAAATCAAAAGGCTCACCAGGAAGCATTTTATGGAGGTCCTGCAGGAAGCCTGAACCCCTTTCTGGTGCATCATGTGGCAGGGGGGCAAACAGGCTCCTGTAACATGTAGGAAGCATTGGGATCCAGTGACGAGGGTCCTTATCACTCCCTCTCTCGGGTGTTGCAGGAGGACTCAGCTATGGGCTTACAAAGACACCCCCCCCAAGTCTCTCAGTGAGGTAGACCTATAGAGCACAGCTCTTGAAGAGAAAGGGAGGGCTGAAGATGCCTGATTCAGCCATGCAGAGGAGCAAGTCCCTGCCTGTGCCACAGCTGAGGGACAGGTCACTGTCTGAGCTCAAAAAAAAAAGGGGGGGGGCAAAACCCCCCAATATAGCCCCTCTCATTCCTTCTCAATGTTTTCCACAGGCTTTGGGGTGATTCAGAAGCTCTGTGCAAGTAGGACTGACAACAAATGCGACTCACCATGCTTGCCCCATTCCTTCTTGGTGGGACGTTTCAACAGAGGGTTTACCTAATCCCTTCCTACAAGAAAACGCTAAGATTATTTTCCCCCAGCTGCTTCTGCACCACCTACACTGGCCTGCATTAGGACTTTGCTTTGGGCAGTAAGATGTCTTTGCTCAGAAAGGAGCACAGTTCATTGATGGGGCAAGTGAAAGGCAACCACCATCTTCCTGCTTACCTGAAACAAATGCACACACACACTCCACGACACCCAGCCCTTCAGTGAGACATCAGCCCATCTCCCAGTATCCCAAATCTGGCAGCTGGTGATTTCAGGTGCATCAAAAGGTCTGGCAGCCAACTCCTTTCCCCAGACTTGTAAGCTGCTCAGCATGGACCAACACAGCCTAGAGATGACCTCTCTGGAAACCAAACACTGACCCTGGGGAATCCAACCCCACAGCTGAAAAGCTCTGCACGCCACAGAGAGCCAAACTACTTCTCTCCTCACGTTTATCCTGCTCTCTGGAGAGCACCTAAGAAAATCTCACCTCCTTTGAGCCTAACACAGCACTTTGCTGTTGTCAAGGCACCTTTTGTAAATGTGGGGCACAGTGTTCTCCTCCGCCACCAAAACAAAAATCCTCTTCCTGCTGGCTCTGCTCCACACAGACCCCTCAGGTAGGCACCCCTAAAACTTCCTTGTCTCCCTCACCCAAACCTCACGTCTCCATGTCAGGGGAAGCAAGACACTGGGCCCATCTTCTCTGTCAGGCTTCTCCCCACACAGACACCCAAGTCAAGACACACAAGTCAAGAACTACATCCCCAGGGCTCACTGCCCATTTTTTAGGGATTAAATTTCCCCATGAACTGTAAAGCACATGACTGTTACTCTCCTCACCCCCACACCACTTCCCAGTGTTACATCACACATATCTGCTCATGCGTCTGCACAGCCCCTAAGGGTGACGAAGCAAAAGTCCCTGTCTTTTGCAGGACTAGTGCTGCTAGCACCAAGCCAGAGTTTTGCAGTGGTGCTTTGAGTTGCGTGGTCATCGGCAGAAGACAAAGTCTGCATCAGAGCTGTGATGATTCAGGGGGTTTTAGGGTGGGTTTTTTCCTTCCTCCCAGCCAATAAGAGCACTCAGAGGCACATCTTCCCCCGCAGGAAGCAGGGCGATCACTCCTCTCGTCGGCTGGCTTCTCTTCTGAAGTGGTGGAGATGGCAGTGAACTCCACCTGCACCTTCGCCGCACTTTGCTGTTTAGCACTCTGGGGCTTTGCCAGGACTTCAGATGGTAAGAGTGGAAAATAATTTCTGTTTTCCTTGTGCTTTAGGTCCTGTGAGTGCTGCTTCCTAATGCACTGGTAAATAACAGCCCTTCTCCAACTGCTGCCCGTGCTGGCGCAGCACTGCAGGGTTCAGACTGCAGCTGAAAATCCAACTGCTTAAGAGACTTTCTCTCCTTGTAGCGAACCATGTTATCCAGGGACATCATCTAAGGATTTTGAAGTCAACTTTCGGTTTTAACTTATTTGTCAGTGTTTAAACTCTGCGTGACCTTGATTATTAAATCTAAAGACTGTGGGTAACAATTTGACTACTAAGTACAGATGGGCACTTGAGTGCCGATTAGCTGACTTTAATGAAACATTACTTCGTATCGTTTCTTTCTTTGCTGAGCAAGGAAACTCTCTTGATTGCAGCTGGCCTTAAATCTTTGGAATGGGAGCTGCAGACAGGAGTATTTTCTCTCTGAAGGTTTTAGCTCTACTTCAGTTTCACTTTGACTCCCATACACAGAAAGTACTGATGCACTCAGGGTTAGCCAGTAGCTTTTTGTTTCAGCTGTGGTTTCCTCTGGGGGTTGCAGACATATACAGGAACTCTGCTGCGAAGATAAAGCCTAGCCTTGCTCCTAGAAATGGGGAGGAGGTTTTGAAAGCACCCCATGATTCAGGTGGCCAATACAGTGCTTTATACTATAATACTGGTTATTATACTGTTTAATATAGCGTTCATGTATAGCTCTGTTTATGGTATTAAATAGAAATACTGCAGATATTATTTAAAGTATTTATTATATAAATATATAACATTTATTAGCTGTTTCCCTTGGTAAGCAGAGGAAGGAATACAGACAGTAAGACAGAAAATGTGTTCTGCATGATGTGACTTTCTTATTACAGGGCTCTGCGATTCATTGGAGGTGTGACTTACTGGGGCTGCTGCATTTTGTTACGAAGCACAGCTATAACTTTCACGTACTAAAGATTTCCTAATATAACTAGTCTTGTACCCTCACAATACTGCTACTGCATTGTTCAAAGAAGCCTAAAATGTAATGCATTTTACTGCAAGAACAGTGATTTAAAAATAAGGGAATCTTAAACTTGTGTTTGGTTATATAAACGTGTTGTGATGTACTGTTTTGAAAGCACCCCATGAAAAAAAAAAAACCAAACAAAAAACAACTGCCAATTTGCTTCACTGCAGGCTGGGAGAGAGCATCCACAGGATTGTACTCTCATACTGCAGGAACAGGGCCCCCAAATTATTCCTCAGTGAGGAAAACACAAGAGAGGGCCTCTTAATACAACATTCAACTCATCTCTGCAAGAACGGCACTCTCTTGCTTAATAAACGGGCAGTTGCCTCTTGACTCAGAGCAAGAAAAGAGTCTACGCTACTACCGTCCAACAGAAGGAAGAGGAGGGGGGCCAGATTTTTCCCCTTTCTCTTCACATTTCCAAATCCAGAAGCAAGGATGGGGTCTAAAATACAAATTCTCTGGCCCTAAGCATCTCCCTGTAAAGCAGTAAGAGCTGTTTTCCCAAGTCATGAGATCACATCTTCTGGCCTGGGTATTGTAGGTGCCCAACCAGGACATGCAGTGCCTCTGCTCCCACCCAGACCTGGACAACAAGTGTTTCACGAACATTGGTATGCCCAGAGCCTTGCACTGTTATCTGACCCTCTGGGCCATTCTGCTTTGCTCTTAGAGTGGGGCCATCACCGTACACACATTCAACTTTTTACGGTAATGGCCTTCAAGAGCCAAGCTAGGGAAGAAGCTGGGAAAGGCTGCAGTGAAGAAAATCAGAACTACGTGTGCCTCACACCAGAGAGTATCTGGGTTTGGGAAATACAGTGGTGCAAACTATTCCAAACACCAGAAGTGATTCCAGACCGGTGTGTGTGCCATGCAGTGACCACCTTCAGCGAGAATCAAAGCACATCAAGAAAACCAAATCCTAGCCTTAAGGAATCTGCGTCACCAGAAGAAAACAGGGGGGGTAAAGTTCTCCCACAAGGGCTCAGTAGATTTTTTTTTTTATACCCACTTTGCTCTGGTATGAGTCATTCTTAATACCAAATTGCAATGGGTGAAGGAGGTGAAATGCCTGGCACCCCTTAGTGATAGCTGGGGCAAAAATATTCTAGCCTACCATCCACCTACAACACATGGTGTATTACCAGCCTGCTGCCTGTCTATAATGCATGGTCCAGCTTGCTAGACTCTGAGTCTACCTCTCCAGATGTTGCACTTCAGAGGCCTTATGACAGTGCTAGATCTACCAGACACTGGAGTCTGGAACAAGGGCACTTTGAACTCTGCCTCTTGCTTTGAGGAACACATTTCATAGTTTTCTCATACACACAGTGTGACTTCAGCCAGCCTCACTCACCCTGCCACCCCATGCCTAGAAAAAGATCTCAACATGACTCAAGAGATGTTGAAAGCTATAAGCCACAAAGGGACTTTCTGCTAAGATTGGAAAAGCCTGCAGTTATCTCCTCCTACTACAAAGGACAGTATCTGCTGTCAACATCCCCACCACTGCCACATCTGACTTTCCAACAGGCATAAGAGCATAGATTCAAGCAAGGTCCCGAAGAGCAGTCAGATGAGCCCAAGCCAGTGACCTGCTCTCAGCCTGGCAGCCTGTCTCAGTTGCTAGGTGAACTCAGGCAAAAGCTCGTTCCGACAAGTTGAGCTGGTATTGATGGCACAGGAAAAAGCAAGGCATCCCTGAGGAAGAGGACAGCTGGCCCTATGGGCAAGGCCCAAAACAAGGCCCTGCTCTGCCTCAAGCTTCCTTTCTGACTTCAGGCTGGTCCTGCATGGCCTTCTGGAGTCATCTGTGGGTCCCACCACCTTTACTCCCCAGGCAGAGTCCCTGTTCAGGACAAGATGACAAACATGCTTTGGAAAGTCTTACCCATGAGCTGACCACTGGATAAGATGTGCTGCTTGAGAAATACCTTCAGTCCTAGGCTGTGTGGTCATGAGTCTCTGACTCTTGAATCCCACCCTTGGTACAGTGGGAAAATCATTCCACAGATGACAATCTCAGGACCTACAAGTAGATTCTGGGCTGTTACATGAAAAAACACTGCCAGGTCGCTCAGCACTGGCTGCACACCCAGTCCCAACATAGATCAGAGACATGGGGCAGGAAAGCTTGTCACCTCCACACCAGACACAAAGCCACTTGCAGAACATCCGCTCCTCTCAGACACATGACCTGGGTCTTTGAGCTCCCACCTGCAAGAAAACATGGGGGTCATTAAGGTAGCTGGTATATCAGCCAGGAAGAGATGTGAATTTGGATGTCCTCGGGTTGAGGAGGGATGTGGAACTGAGTCTCTCCTTTGCAGGTCAACACTAATCCCTGAGCAGCGTTACAAGGGGGTGCAGCCATTACCACCTGCGGGGGGAGGATGCCATATAGTAACTAGGGCATTTGTAAGCAACCTGAAAGCTGAATGTTTACAGCCTCCTGTGCCGATGATGGCATGTGATGCTGGGGTTTGGGTTGGTTTTTTTTTAATAGACTCTGGATGACCAGATTGCCCCTCTCTCTTCTACTTCAGAGTTTCTTAGTAGAAACTGGCTTAAATACACACACACTATGCTCTGCATGTGGCTGTTAGTGAGACAACTAGCTGGGAAAAAAAGCTGAAGGTGATAAAAAGCTTGACTTCAACAGCAAATTCAGGACAAGCTCTGCATGCACATCTGTGTGCACATGCACACACAGGCTCGCTGCCTACACACACAGAGCATGAACGCCAAGGGTCACCTCCCACACTGGCAGGTCTTGGCATCAACGGTGGCTACACAGCAGCTTGCACAGGTTGAGGATTTTTTCCTCTAGTTTGTATTTCAGAATGGGGAAAATGGAAGGGTAGGCAAGTGTAAGGGAGAGGAAATACTGGTATTAACTGTAAGCTTTAAGCGTCTTCTAAATTATTGAAAAAACAAGCAGGGCACAAGGAAGTTAGCTACACAGCCAAGTAAGTGTAATAAGGGCTGTGTGAAAAAAGTGCTCATAGTTGAAAGTTTGTGGGGGTGCAGTGCCATGTCCCGTCCCCCCCTTACTTCCTACACACCTTGTTCCTCCACTTCATGGCTGTGATACTAAGATGGTCCCTGGCATTTGGGTCAGGGCGGCACTACTTCAGCACTCAAAGCAGCCCATTCTCCAGGACAATGGGGAGCTAGTCCGAGTTCTGCTCCAGGCCCTTCCCTGCCCAGCTGGACAACAGGGATACCCTCCCTCTACATGCTGGCAAAGGAGAGGGTATCTTCCCCCCACCTTTATCACCACCTATATCCCCCTAAAATAAAAACCTCAAGATGCCATCATAAGGATAAAGGGAGGGTGGGAAAGGCTTTATGTCTGTAAGCTGGCATGCCAATCAAGAGCAGCAGGGCTCTGCCAGCCAGTGTTTGGTAAGTTACCCAAATTATACTGTACTCTGAGCAACATGATCTAGCTTTGTAACTAGATTCAAAGTTGGGCCTTCTATAAGCCAGGAGTCACACCAGAGACATTCCAAATAATATTTGTGATACCCTGGCTTCTTCTAAGTCAGTTCAAGCTCTGCTACCACTTCTAGCAGCATGTCTTTCTGTTCACTTCATTCCACAGGATTGTTTCACCATTACATTGTAGTGGATGCAAGCAGAGCCTTTTCAGGCACCACCTGATGTGTTTTGCACTCATATTTTGTTTTGTTTCAGCTACATATGTACCACCACCTCATTCGACCATGAAACCTGGCTTCCCTATCCCAATGAACACCAGCAATCCTGGCGTTCGCAAGGCAGCTCGCTTTGGGGTTTACAAATACAACAACAGTTCCAATGATGTCTTTCTGTTTAAGGAATCACAGATAAACAAAGCCATGGTACAGGTAAGAAGAGCCCGGGCTTCTGGTGGTCCTCCACACCATTTACCAACTGACCTTCCTACAGAGCACCCAAGACATGGGAGCCCTGATCCTCTTCAGGACTGCTATGCATGCCTAAAGATAAACAGCACATGTCCCTCTATCCCATTTGACTGCTCCACAGGAGGGCTCCGTGTCCCGTCCCCCCACCCTAGTAATCAACATAACACACTTCTATCCACAGCACCACACACAATTCACAGATGTAGCATTTGATCCCTTTCCCCTGCCCTTACTTCAAAGGAGGAAACTACTTTCTCTAGATTGTCAGAGGGCTGAAATACATGCTCCACGTGGAAATTGGACGCACTGTATGTGAGAAGAAGGAGCAGTCCAGCCTGGATAGCTGTCACTTCCAGAGGAAAAAAAACCTGCAACAGGTATGTGTCCAGTTCATCCAGGGTACCCAGTAACTGCAGGTGATTCTTGGCCATCTCTAGCTGTGTAGTCACCTTCAGACCAGCTCTGCCATGTCCCTACATATGTACAAGCCTCCTCTGTGCAGAGCCAGCTGGGGTGAGGCAGGGTTATCAGTATAAGCAGCATAGTACCTTTCATGCACGGCCAGCTCCTGTCTGCAAGGAGTTGGACCAGGCATAGCCACCTATCCCATATTCCTGGATAAGTGGGTGAAATTGTGCAGAAATAGAATATGTGCTAAACAGAGAGATTTCCTGGGTGGGGGAAATCCCTACAGGAGATTTCCCACTAGGATATGACTACTTAGAAAACAGTAATTTTCCCAGGATAAAGGGGGCACACAAAAAGATGCTGTTCTCTCCTACCCCATCACGGCCCACAATGCTGAGAACAACCAGAAGCCACCTGAACTTCTTCACCCTTTCATTTGCAGATGCTGAGATGCTATTTCGAGGTCTGGATAATGCCTTGGTTACACAAAGCACATGTTCCCGTTGCTCTCTGTCACTGACCCACCTTTCCTCATGAGAGCCTGACTTACAGGGGATCTTCCACCATGAGTTTTTCCTTGCCTGGAATATCAAGGCCAAAACTGAAGCAGGGAACGGCTGTACAGAATCACCACAGAGCTTTTCTCTCAAAGCACATGGTTGTTTTTCTCCCTTAGAAAGATGCTCAAAATCTGAGCGACAAAGACCTGCCTTGACCGAATTTATTGCTATCCAGTTGTGTATCTGTTTTTCCAAAACTAAACTGCAGACAAAAGCATGTTGTCTTTCATTCAGTAGAGCGCCATCCACCTGCTGGCTGAATTTCCAAGTAGCGTGAACACACCCAGGAAGCTCTGTTGGACTTGCTTTATTCTGTGACGAATCTTCACACAGCTATGACATAAACAAGTCTAAACCACAGCACATGTGACTACAACACCCAGGAAAGCTTTACAACAATGGGATATTTTGTGGGGATACACACCCACAAAAAGCCTTAAGAGTCTCCAGTGCTAGAGAAAAGGTTAGACATTATCTGTCAGGAATGCACTAGGTAGAGTTGCTCTTTCTTCAAGAGAAGAGTATGGATAAGGCTGTCTTCAAACACACCCACAGCCCAGAAATTACACTAGTCTAACTAGTGCTTCTACTTTAATCAAAACCTAATCTATACCATGAAAGGCCATGAATGCAAATGCTAAGACAAATAAACCAAATCATATTCCTAAGGCATATTTTTGCTGAGGTTAAACAATGTAGTTTCATTCAGGTTAATATAAGACATTGAATCTCTGTCTGACCACAGCTTATATTCAAGTTTAGTAATATGCTGGTCTTCTCTAGGTGGGCATCTACCATTCCTTCTGCCTCCACTCTTCATGTATGGACAGATTATCGCTTACACTGGACTAAGGCCCTTATTCGTAAGGATTTGGGTAACTGCTCCATTAATACAGCAACAAAGTCTGGACGCATGTTCAGTCATACACAGACCAGCACTTACAAATGGATAAGGCCCTGACCTAAGCTATGAAGAACACCTTCTTTCCACAAACACCCCTTCTCTTCTAGTAGTTGTTGCCTTTCTCCAGCAATATTGCAACTCCTATTAGCAGTAACATCCACACTTTCAGTCTTTATAATAACCATTCAGCCAAGAAAGGCTCCAGGCCAAGGTCCAGGGATCTTAAGGCAGACAGATCTGGCAAAGTCTTAAGTTCTGCTTCAGAAACATCACTTGTGATGAGCAGGTGGCCCAGAAGCAGTTCAAATTCAGCATCCAGTGCTGGAGAGACAGCTGCGCTGCATCTTATCTTTAGGGGCAGCAGTGTCTTAGCTGGAAAAAAAAAGAAGTGCTCAAAAGAAACCTCCAGAAGGGCCATGGATGGATGTAGTGTGGTGCTACATTCACCCATCACACAAGCCACCATTGACAGCCTAATGCCAAAGACAATGAAAAAGAAAGCCAAGTATGGTGGCTCAAGTTGTCCGCAAAGCAGGAAAGCCAAGTCACAGCTAAGTTTGTAAGAGGGCAAGAGGAACCAGGAGGAGCTGCTCTCCAAATCTCTAAGAGGTTAGCAATGGTCTCAACTCCTCTTCCACCTCAGCTGGGTGCTCCACACAATGCCAAGGGCTTCCAACCAGGCCATCAGCTCCAGACAGCCTGGGCACAGAACAGGCCCGACAGATCCACATTTCTTCCTTCAGCCAGCAGGACAGCCTGGTGCTCAGTAACAGATGTCACCAGCCTTTCCATATGCCACGGTAGAGCGAGAAGGCAGCACGCAATCAGCTTAGGTCTGCACAGAGATTCATGGGGGCAGTAAGCATACCACAGAACAGTCTCCCATGTAGGGTCCCTTGAAGGGTCATTCAAGCCCCTGGCATAAAGGCCTTCATCTCAGTCTCCTCACCAAGTCAATTCCCCATTTGTCAAAGAAACAAAAGTTAAAACCAGGTGAACCTGGCATCATGCAGCTTGACAAACCCAACATGCTCTTGCTGCTCTCTCAAGGAAAATGCAGCAAGATCATTCTGACCTCTGTCCAAATACGCTTGTTTGGAAGCATGTTTTACATAAAACTGTTGCCAGCACTTACTGCAACACAGACGAGCTCATTGCAACCAACACAGTGGGAAAGGAGACAAGCACCTTCTGAGAAAGGCAGATTAGCCTTATGTTTACAGCTGCAGCAAAGTGTTTACTGTAACATTACAATAAGAAAGGCACACTGGAATAGCAGCATCCATCATCAGATCCCTGTTGTGATCACTGAGCTGACAGACCCAGAAGCTTAGGAGGTCATTATCTCATCTGCAAAGGTTACTGCCACAAAGCAGACTCAGATTTAAAGGAATCTGATTTATGCCAAGGCTTTGCAACCACTTTCATCAGCTGTTTACACTGAGATACCAACCTTTGCATAAAAGTGTCAGGGGCACGCGAGTTATCTTCCAACAGCTCTACTATAGGAGAAGTTTGCTCCAGAAAAGGGACAGGGCAGTGAGCTGTGGAATAGCATTTTAAATAGCTTCAGCAAAATCTTCTTGATACTTGCACCCCGCAGAAACATCTGTTCCACCAACAAGGCAAAACAAAACATACCTTTAAAACACACAGCTGCAGTGTACTCCAGCTCAGTTTCTTTTCCTTAGGCTATTTTACTGCAGGGCTTTATGCTAAAGTAAAGATCTCCCCAAGCCCTTCAGAAGACCAGGCACTGTTCTCCAATTCCACATCCCATAGTCTGTCCCAAAAGCTTTGGCAAGACACAGGAAGCACCCTCAGGCTCTTCTGAGAGTTGTGCAGAGAGGGTTTCCTTCCTTCTTAGGAAGCCATAGCCCCTTTCTCCTGCCACCAAAAAACAATCTTGCCCTGACAAGATCTTTGGATACTGCTGTAAATGCTCCTGCTTCTTCCAGTGTGGGCGGTGTGTCAACACTAGAGAAGAGCCAGCCTCAGAGCTGCAAAGGCGTCATGTTCCTGCACTGATACCATCAAGCAAGAAGACAGAGCTGTTTTTTTTGCAAGCCTGACTTGTTCCAGCTTTCCCCATTGCTCAAGGCAGATGTGTCACCATCCACCTGAAACTGTAACATGCCACTGGCTCACACTTCTGTGGAAGTGGAACAAGCCTATAAAAGCAGTCTTCCCAGGAGCACCAAGAGGAGTTAATGCCCATTTGTTTGTCCCACAGGCATTTTAATGCTGCTGCATTACTCTGGGAGGATTGCATTTGAGGAATCATCAGGGATTAAAAGCACCTGAGCTTCTACAAAAACACTGTTCTTAAGCACCCTTTACACTTAGTAATGAAAGAAGCTGTGTGTCAAGTCAACCTGTTTCATCTGGGTTCTACATCCTTTGCATACAAAGGATGGACTATCGGGATCCAGCACAGCACCAGGAATGGGAGCCAACACCATCTGAGCTCAGGGAAGGCACACCTTTCAGCCTCTGCACTTTGGGTCTCCTTGAACTGGAGGTATGCAGACCCTGCATTCAGATACATATCATAAGATCATTAAACTGCACAATGACACCTCTACCTGATACTGCAGTTCCACCCTGGTCCCCCACCAGTGTTGCAGCCATCATGACAGCAATTTACCTCCTTTCAATTTTTGCAGCCATGGAGGCATCAGCAGTCTTGGGCCAGACACCTGTCTCACCAGGAAGCATCAAGCATACTGACTTTCCCTTAGTGCCTCACATGCCACCATTTCACTCTGCTTCAGACTGAGCTCTAACTTACAGGGTCAAGCACAGCACTGAAAAACCTTGCAGACAAGTTTCAGGTCACTATTAAAACACAGGAGACAGCCAGATCACCTCCCTGTACGGGAAAGACTGACCCATGTTTATGTCCACGAAGCTCCAGCTAAAATGAAATGTTAAGGTTCTTACGACGAATGAAATACCAATGGCCAGGTTAAGCATGGCCTGTTACCATGCAAAGTTTGTTGCTTAGGTTGGTATTAAGTTGTGGCACCTACCACAGTTTACATTTGGTGCTTTACAGACTTCAGTGGTCTCTACTTTTTTAAAGGGAACTGCTGACTGACTGGACCTGTACCCGGTGAACTCTCTCTATTTGTAGAGGCTGGACAGACAGGCTTTATTCATTCTGAGAAATTAAATTGAGAAGAACTGCATACTCTGTCCAAAGCCTTAACCTTTAGACAAACTCATTTAGACTGACAGCTATTCAACTACTTTCCAACGAAGCACAGAAAAGCAATGAAAAATTTCTATTGCCCGGGGCAGACACAATGACAGGCAGGGCAAGTAATCAGAAACTATAAATGTGTATTTGTATGGGCACAAATTCCTGCTTGCCTCTGAACCCTACTCCCAGAATTTACCTCCTGCCCTCAGTGCAGAGCCTGCCTTTTGTCTGTCTGCAGTCATTTCTAATGCAGCCATAGCTAGAGGCCCACTCTGCACAGCTGGAGAGGTCTGGCCAGCAAAGATCCTGCACCACAAGCCAGAAAGAAGTAGTAACTGAACTCTCATGGGACACCAGGACCAACAAAGAACGCAAGTACCCAAGGCATCAGCTCAGCTTCCTCCATGCTACAGCACTAGCCTTCACCGCTGACTTGCTGGATTTTATAGGGAAATTGCTCCCCATAGGAAGACTCTTGTGCAGACAGCTCTAATGTCTTCACAGTGTCCAGCCTCCTTTCCTGACTGTGGCACTTGGCAAAACAACCCTCCCTGCTACCACAGGATTAAAAGAAGAGCTCAGAAGGCAACTGCCCCAGTGAATAAGGGCATTAGCTATCTTCAAGCTAGGAGAAGCTGCTTCTGAGCTTCAGTTCTGCCATGATTAACCATTTCAAGTTTTCTTGCACCTCCCCCTGAGATACTTGTGCCTGGCCACTGTCTGACAGTTTCCGCTAGACCACTCAAAAGTCACACCAGACAAAGTCACACTCCGTTAGATCTCTTTCATATTTGGCATTCTCTTTTCCCCTTCCCCAAGAAAAGCAAGTTGTTCACATGACTCTCAGTCTGCTGTACTTGCTACAGAGTTCAGAGAGAACTAAAAAAAGATTCAAGAACTTCCTGGTGGGACCACAGGATCATCAGTGTACTAAGTCTCCAACAGTGGCCAGGAAACAGTGAGGGAGTAGAAGAGTAGAAAAAGGATGAGAACCTAAAAACTCTCAAGAGACAGCTCTTCATATGTCTTATCCCTCTTCAGCATCAGCAGCGCTACAACTTACTTTCTTTTCCACTTCAAAACTTAAGGGACAGTGTCTTATAAGAGAATTAGTCACACAAAAGCCTGATCACATTTGGCAGGCCAAAACAGCCAAGGTCTACTTCATTACAAAAGACAGCACAAAGTTATCCAGTTGGACACTTTGGCAAATGAATCATTACAGGTAACTATGCAACAACAGGTAAAGCTGTGCTTGCCCCAAGGCTACCAAAGCACCACCATGAAACACACCCCACAACAGACTTGCTTTTACAACCCCAATTTAAGATCCCATCAAGTTCAACTTTCATACCCTACCAGAATGGGACAAATAGCTGCAAGGGCTGGCAGAGCAATGCTAACTAGCTGCTGGGTTTCCCCAGAAAGAGGTGTTGCAGGCACGTCCCATTCTCACCCCTTCTTCAGAGTTCCCACACAAGTCTGTACCTCCCCCCCAGGCAGGTCACGCCTCTCCAGCTTCTCAGACTTACCACAGTATCACCCTATCTCTGTCCACAAACTATTCAGGGCTCATTAAGGGCTATATAGGGCTCAACTGGACCAAAGATCAGAGCCTGCAGCAACTCATCTAGTGGGCTTCTCTTGCCTCTTAGTGAGCTCCCTCCCAAACCCACTAACCACCAGGTCAAGCAAAGGGGCTAGCAGCCCCCAGCCCGTACAGAACAGGTCAGCCTGCATGATCCAGCAACCATCAGCCACAGGACTGCTACAGCCTGGTAGTAACAGAACAAAGTGACTGAAGCACTGGCAGAAAAGTATCACTTTCATTTGCATATCCTTCCATTAATAAAGACAAGCACAAGAGGCCAGTGAAAGCAGATGACATTTTTAACATCGCCTTCCCCTTCTCTGGTGCTTTGCATTATATACCACGCAAGTCTTTTTTTCCTTTTTCAAAGGCGAGGAAATTGAGTAATAGCATAAATTTATGTTTGACTATCACCCAGTGGCAGAAAAAGAGAGAGCAGCAAAGTTTTCAATCCCAGAGCACAAATCAATCCACTAAATTACACAGCCTCTCCTTTGTAGTAGTTGACGGAGAAGCACTCTCTGGATTTACCAAGCAAAATATCTGTTAACAGAGGAAGTAAACCATTTCCTCTGGAAATGCCAGAAAGCATCCATGAGCATCCCAAGACTTTCCACCAAAGCCTTCCTTGTCCACTGTTACTAGATTCTACAGTGACCCTTTCAGTCCACATCCATCTTTGGACACCAACCTTCCCAAAAACCTTTACCAGTTCTCCTAAAAACCATGCTGAAGAGGATTCCTGCAGCTGCTCCTCTTCCCTCTCATGTCTCTCAGGAATGGCCACCTACATAACAAACAGGAGACTTACAGGACCTGGTAAACATGGAGGAAATACTACAAGTGACCCTTTCTAAACCTGCTGGAACTAGTCTTTAATAGCGTAGAAAATGTAACTTTCATTCATTATCTGACTACAATGCTATAAAGAAACACAGGAGTCCACAGATAACGATCAAATTTGATTCTGCATGTTGATTAACAGTTAATTGTAGTGTCTGATGTTGATTACACAGGCTGGAATTGAAAAAACCCAAATGGTATAACTAGATTTCTGGGCATGTTCTGGATGTTGCTGCCTCTACCACAGCACCACAGTATGACATTAAAACATGCACTGTAATCACTCCTAAACAGGATGTTCTAAAACAGAAATAAACACATGCAAGACATCCTCTTCAGTCCAGATCATACAAATTAAATTTCATAGATCACAAATCCTTCCAATATAAGACAACATACAGTTGCATTAAAAGTGACAGATGATGTCTGTAAGATGACTCCAAACAGGGCTGGGCGTGGAAAAGCAATGCATTTTCTTCAAGGAGCACAGAACCATATGAAGATGCCCCACCATACTCCTCAGATATTCATAATTATGCATGCCAACTCCAAAGCAAGAGCAGTCAAATCAAGGAATTGGACAGGTACAGCAAGCAGTACATTTTCCTATGGTAACAGAACAGTGCTACTGCACGTTAACAGGCTGTCTTTCACTTTTTGTCCTTGGTCACACACTGCCTCAAGCACATTCTTCCTTCAAACCTCTGGAGTCTTATAGGACAGTGGCACTTTATCATGAGTGGACAGCTAAACATGCTGAAGATTAAGTCTGCAAATAAATGGAGACTGGTAGGAGCCCAGGTAAAGATATCCATTGTGCTCATGTGCCTCACTAACATAAGCTACGGTCACTCCATTGGGATCATGAAAGCTTCTTCTGTAGGATCCTGTCTCACTAAGTTCAACAACAAGGCTATATTTGGGCACAAACTTTATCACAGTTTCTTGACTCAGCAACTGAAAGAAAAAGAAAAGAAAAGAAGAAAATTAGTAACAAAGGATTTTGTTCTCCCCAGTTAGATCTCAGACACTTACACAGTCAAAGACCATTCCACACTCCTTGGAAGAAGCAGCTAAGAACATAAGCACACATTTTGAGTAAACACTATTACACAGGCTTAACACATTAACATCTGAAAAGCCAACTTGGGGAAAAAAAAAAAAACAAACCAAAAAAACAGCAGAAGCATACTCTACTCCAGCACTAGGCTGAAAGGATGTCCACACAGGAGACATCAGCTTGTTCTGGCGCAGTTGACGCCAAGCAGCAGACATCATGCTCACTCCCCACAGCATCAGTTTGTTAAGGCTCCTGCGCTGCACCAGCAGAGACAACAGGTTTTACAGGGATAGCACAGAGTTTGTTTAGCTGAAATGGCACTTCCATCTTAAATCCAATCCTTGTTGATTATTTTTTTGAGAACAGAAGGATTTTCGAGTCTTTGTATTGTTTAAAAAGCACCATGCTGTTTCTTTAGCATCAGGTATCCCTTACAAAATATTATTCTTGCTCATCCTCATCCAAAAGGGGGGCATGACATAACAACAGGCATATTGAGTCATAACAAAGTGTCACCTAGCAGCATACATAACATACACACTGTCTCCTAGGATGCCTAGGGTAGTCATTAGAACAGGTCAGACTTCCCAAATGCTCTCCGGACACCTGGCAATAAGTAGTTTAGGTACTTCGGGTACAAAGGTGAAGTCTTCACATATCCAAATGTAGATCCTGTGTTGCTGCATGGCTATAGTCTCTTTTTCTTTCCTGAGATCAAGATGGAAGGCAACTTAAGAGATGTGTACCTGCTACTCAAAGAAGCAAATGTTAATTTTACTACCTAAGGATTTATAAGGACTGTTCTACCTGGGGACAGCCACAACAGTTTTAACCAAGGCACTTAAATTTTAAAAATCTTCCTGTGAAGAGGAAGAAACAAATATCACCTCTATTCCTATACAAAGTGTTTTGTTTTCTTTTTACCTTAAATATCATCCTTTTAATCCATGGTTTTTCAGACAAGAAATCCAACAAAGAAAATCCAGGATTGGGCCGGACAGCTGACATAGCTACCCAATATCCTCCAGAGCTGCTTAACCTGATATTATCTGGAAGACCAGGCATATTCTCAACAAACATATCTGCTCCACCCTTCATCAGACCAGACACATAATACCTGAAAGTTACAGATAGTAGGATTAGAACATCCTAACTCAAGCAGTCTAAGTAATAAATAAAATTCCCAAAAGGAATCAACTTTAAAATACTAAAAGAACTTTTTTTTTCCCCTTATTTTGGTACAGGGAAATACAATACAGCCACATTCCTCTCCCCAGAAAAAGTCAGCTTACTCCACTATGCTCAAGGAGCCCATGATGGAACAAGTATGCATTCCAGATGTTTACAGTGAAAGAAAAAATTAGGTATTGAGGAAGGCCACCTTCTTTGGCATTGATAACTAGGCATGAATAGAATGTAGGGTTTCTTTTGTCATTCAACTAATTTATTTAAACATTCTCTAAACAAAGAATGGTAATAATTTCAGCAAAGTCATGCTCACCTTCTGATTCTAGCCATGGCTGTTTCCTGCACCAGGACAAAGTCTTCTGCAGGAGAAAGCTGGACACCATTGGGAAACCTCAGCCCCACCATTAAGACTTTCACTTCTTTGGTTACTGTGTCATATTCAAGCAGGCTAAAAAGAAAGCATTGTATATGGTTTTGAGTGAAAGCAAATACTTATTCATCTTGGTTTCATTCTCCAAGCATTCTATCTTCTCTCACATGCACTTCACCAAATGCTAACACCTTCCCTTTTAAAATATATGTTCCATGCAAGTCCTCTTGAAGTAAAAAGAGGAATCTCATTTATTTCACTGCAGGTCTCATTAGCAACATCCACACATTGTCTAACCCTCTCCTGGGCAGGGCAATGTTTGCACAGGTGGTTTATAAAGAAAAAAAATTGAAGACCAAGGAAGTGGTGAAAGTCCATTCCTACAGCTGAGCTTACAATAAGTTAAATGCCTCAGGGAAGAGATACTTGCCGCCCATCATCTGTGCCTTCCATAATCAAGAATAAGTAGTCTCGTCTTTGCCATTTGCTACTGGAGTCAGTGAAATAGATTTTCCTCCCATCCCGGGTCACTGTAAGATCATTCACAAATGACAACTTCTGACCTTCAATTAGTGTTTTGGTTGACACAAGCATTTTTGTTTCACCTGGTTACAAAAAGAAGCCAAAAAAAAGACACACAAGACAAGCTTTTGTATGTCCTGCCTTGGAAATGAGTTAAACACTAATATAAAATTAGCAGGCACTTCACATTTTTTTCCATTTGTGCCTCTGTTAAGTAATAAGGTTTTGCTTTGTAATGGGACAACTCAACACCCAGCGTGAATGACCAGGAGAAAATACTCTTCAGAAAAACTGAAACAGTAGATGATGTTCCCTATCAATAAATGCCATTTTTTTCACATTGCTGAAGTTTGTATGAAACCAAGTGCAAACTCAGGTCCCAACCTTGTAGAAGGATGCAGGCAAGCCAATCACTACTACTTCTTTCCCCATAAATCTGTAGGAACGAAGAGTAGTACTTTCTAAACACTAAAACATCAGCAGGTTCACTAAACATCTCTGCCACATATTACCAGGCAAATTATTAAGGTCAAATATCTAGAAATTAACCTAAATCTATTGAAGTCATCTTTGGGCACAGGGTTTGGGTTTGTTTGTGTCATGACTAAGCTAATATGGCAGCTATCTGCCATCATAAGAGAAGACCTTGGTCATACCCTCACAGAGCCACACAGTCTGAGCCCTTTGGTTACATCTCACCTAGCATTTGGCTAGCTTCCCTCTCCCCACCTGAAGCCAATTTGGAGAAGTAAACTGTCAGAAAATCAACCCTACACAAAAGCAACTATCACTTTCTGACAGCACAGCTCCTAAAACTGAGATCTGGCTCAAGGACCTGATCTTCAGCTGCACCAAAATACATCTTTCTTCACCTTCTATAGATAGGGTTACAGGGGAGTTAAGAGCTCTTCACTATCCCACAGTGAGATCAAGGCAGAAACAAAAGTACAGCAAACATGACAAAAAGTTTATGTAACAGCAATATGTTTTTTCCCTTTACGAAAACTGAAACAGCTACACAGAGCTTTATTCATGGATCCTGAGGTACCAATTTTGACAACCAAAAGCACATCACCAGAAGAGAAGCCACAGGTAACTCTGATCCAGACAGACAGATATAGAGAGGAAGTGATTGCTACAAAAAAAAAAAATATCGAGTTCTTGCATGGCATATTTCATCCAGACAGCTCCAAACCACTTTGTAAAGGCGGCAGGCATTGTTTTGCCTACAGTGTCTGGCAAAACTGCAAATGAAGCCCAGATTTGTCAGTAGGAGAGAACATCTGAGCAGAAAAATCATACCTGTACCAGGATTAACTTCATAGAGTCCATAATAAGCATCTGCCACAAAAAGGGTGTTATTTGGCCCCACTCTGATGCCAAGTGGTCTTCCACATGCTGGCTCATCTTCACGGGTTCCTTAGGAAACAATTTTTTAAATGTTTTTTCAAATAGAAATACATACAAGGCATTCAGGCTACCTACATAGGTCAAACTGTAGCTTAATGAAATTGTACGGCCAGCACCACACGCATTCATTAAAGAAATTATTCTTACTTTCCTAGGTGTGAGTGAAACAGATATCCCCATGCTTTCATCAGTCTAGAGATAATCATATAATTTGCCAGGCTGGTAGCTAGCTAACAGTTGCCCTGAATAGGGCCAAATGTCAGGAAATTGGATTTAACTAAATGCTTCCTCTCAGAAAGAAACAGTTTTACTGCGGGTTTCTTTTTCTTTTCTTTTTTAAATTAAAAAAAAAAATAAAATACACGCACATCTTGGAACTTTCTTCTTCCAGAGAGGTCCAACACTGTCATAAAACAGCTGGTTTCTCAAGACAGAGACACTGAAGACTTCTATATTAGAAGGAAGGGGAATACTGCAAATCTGAAAAAACTGTCTACTTGAGTCCTGAAGAACTAAGAACTTCAGAACATCCGTAGTTTGAAAGATTAGCAAGATAACCTTCTGGAGAAGGTAGTCAGCTACAGCCTTTCCACTTCCCTCCCCAACTCAAGACAGAAGTCTAGGTTCCCCACTACCTTTTTAGCCTCAAAAGATAGGGCAGCATAATCTTCAACCTCTCCCAAGCTGTACAAGTCCTATGGAAATGAGCAGTGGAAAGGTGATTCTTCACATTCATCCCAACCTGCATTCAGGCCTAAGCAGCAGCTGGAAGTCCAGCTTCCTATCAGCTGACAGCAGACTTCATTGGCTGTCAGCGCCAAGGCTGTCCTACCTATTAGGCAGCCCTACCTATTAGGCAGCCAAGACAGTGCTTCCAAATCAGTCCAGAGCCTAATCATGTGAGCACCCACGTAAAATTATATAGCTAAAGTGATTAACATGTCAATATGAGCTACATAAAGACAGCAACAGTTCCTGCCCATAATTTCTGTCTAACTGGCAACCAGCACAGGGCTGCAGAACCTCATCTGGAAGCTTCTACATTGTTAGTGCAAACAAAACCACCAACAGGCCAACAAACACCAGCCAGACATCTCAGACTGCCCAGGCAGCACTGAGATGGCCAACATTAAGCATAGGAATGGTCCTGTTATTAAACAAGCCGCTACCAGCTTTTCTCACTCAGTTCCAGAAATCTCATTAAATGAAGCAAATAAGTGGTTCAGAAAGAGGTGTGGAATTCAACACGAAACAACTGCAATTTAGCAGTGAGAAAACAGAAATATCCTGACCAATGGAAGACCTCTGCTAAAGCAGATGCAGCCACCACAACCCCTCAACTGTACTTACAAATAGAGGAAGGGAGATTAGTGCAACAAAATGCAAGGCAAAATTCTGTAGATGGGGAAGATGATATTTATTTTCAAAAAAATCTCTAAGTTGATCTTTCCCACTCACACATTATCTCAGAGTTCATTCACTCACACTTGTTTAGGAGTCCTCAGTTTTTATGGGGTGGCCCTTCACCTCAGAATCTTGCTGACTTCAGCGTCTGTAAATATTAGGCCAGGTTGCTGCCCATTTTTTTCTTGTTTAGGATACGTGCTTTTTCTAGATGGACTAACAGGAAAAGGAATGTTATTTGTGATGCACTTCCTCCTAGTGTTAAGATCTTCTACCGACAAGTCATCCATGCTGCAGCCTTACGAGAGTGCATGCCTTGTAGCCATGACATACAAACCCCGCATTTCTAAATTTTACTGCTGGGAACAGTGTCCTTTGTTATCAAAAGCACCCATTCCCATTCTTTTGGCTCTTCGTTCTGCTGTTCCTTCCAGTGCTTACATACATATTTCCACTCATACTTCATTCATACAAATACATTAAAATTTCTGTTACAAATCTCTACAGAGGAAGATATGCGTTTGCATGAGCAATCCAGACAGAACAGCAGTTTAATCAACAGAAGCCCTGACCCAGACATTTCCAAGCACACTATGTCCAGGAGCTGTCACTCACCACAAGGACCATGGCCAATTCTGGCTATTGTTTGTATTTCCCCATTTTCAATTTTGATAATCTTCCCATCAGCTGTCCCAGTAAATAGCACATCTGCAAAAAAACAACTGGTGTGATTAGCTTTCTCAGAAAACTGTAGTGGCAAACATCCTTCTGCATGGTCCTTCTACTAGCATAAAGTAGAATTCACGTTTAAGACATAGTGAAATAACAGTTGTCTTCAGTCATAGCAAAAGAATAAAGAGGGAAGCAAAAGAATAAAGATGAAGGCAAATAAGAGTATTTGGTTAGATTTCTTCTAACTCAAAGAGGAAGGATTTAAGCCTTAGGAATTATGAATATGGATCTGAAGCTCTTCACCCATAAGTGGTCCAAATCCTTGGTTAAAGGTGGACATAACAACTTAATTGCTAGTCATTGATCTCTCTGGGCAAATTTCTACATCATCATAAAATGTGATCAGGCACTGCATCCATCTCACCACTCTTCAATGAGAGACTGACTAGATAAAACTTCTCATTCTGATACAGTCCACATGGGCTGCTGCACACCTGCCAATGCTCATATTGTATCAAGTCTGGAGAAGAATTACAAAAACCATAGCTACTGAACAACCACCCAAATCAAAAGCATTGCCAAATTACTGTATTCATGCCAAGCTATGTGATAGCATAAGACAGGTTCACTGAATACAAACAACACACAAACTTTTCCATACAACCAAATTAAATGAAAGCCCGTTAGATTAATAGAGCCCATCACTTGGACTTTTCCATCTCCAATTTGACTGAAGTTTTAAGCTTGCTAATTACACTTTTAAAAGGGAATAAGAAGACTTCAACATTTATTCATACAAAGCTTATTCCCAGTCAGTCTGATTATTTCACCCCCATAGGTCAGTTGTCCCTTGCAGGAAGGTTTCCTTCAAGAGTTTCCAATGAGACTGATGAAACTAGGTAACTGAAAAGAATCAGTGGCTTCAGGTAATCACTTTAGCACATTGTTAACAGAGACAGGTAGAAAAAGCGTAATCCAAAGGAGGAATTTACAGTAGTTTCTTGCTGGGTAAAGTAACTTTTTAAAATATTTCACTGATTTATTAGAGGATATAGCAGAAGGAAAATAAATTATGTGTCTACTGAGCACCTCTTGTACTGAAGAATGTTTCAGTAAGGACTTTACTTGTAACTCCCACTCTCTTTCCTTTTCACATTAAAACAGTCAAGTACTCATGTCAAGAGTAGTTTCTAGCCTAACCCTGCTTCAGGAGGCACAGGGAACAACCCCTGCACAAAGCTGGTTTCCTACTAAGTGGGTGTCATGCCATTAGAGGTCCAGCCACCTCATTAAGAAACTGCTCAGAGGTGGCATGAGTTTGTCATTTGGGGAGAACACATGTGCCGTAAGAGAGAAGCAGGTGGCACCTGTAATGCATGCAATGTCACTAAAATGTAAATATGCTATTTATCAATTTGAGATTTTTTTCTGTCATATAAGCAAAAATTAATACCACAAAACTCAGCTCCCCCAGAGGCAATGAGCATTAGAAGAGTAGGTAGTACCCTGTAAATATTAATTCCCAGTTAAGAGCTAGCCAAATGAGAAATGGGACCACTTCCTGCAAATATAAGTAGCCCCTGACTACACTGCTGATGCTTTCAGTCCTAGAAGACAGGGATTTTTAATCTGGCAACAAGGTTTATTTTATACTGGGGAAAGAAGCGAAAAGCAATATATAGCAGACAGGTTTTGCTGCATAACACAATTATTTTTTTAAAAAACTGCATATTCAAAGTAACTTCCAGAGTTTGTTATCTAAGAGCTATATTGCTGAACAAACCCTTATCAATGGAGCAACATTTTAAGATCCTTCTTTAAAAGTTTGTATTGTAAGTGCTTACCCCCAATATGGACAATGGATTCTGGTCCAACCACCTGATTTTCCCATAACCGCTCAGCTTTGCGTAACTTTGTATTGGGCTCTAGCACACCCGTCAGGAGGGGAGGTTCCTTCAAACTGCAAAACAGAACATAGACTTCATGATCCCTTGCACAAATCTGCAAACACTCTTGAGCAACATATTGGATCATTGTTTTCCTATTCTGCCAACTCCCACAAACCTGACTGATGCTTTACATACAGCATATTTCAAAAAAGAAAAACACATCTGACATGCTGAAAAATTGCCTCTTGTTCATCAAGAGCCATAAATTTTCTGGTTCTGCTGATCAGAAGAGTTGCAGTTTTGTGTTCTTGAGACATATCTGGAAATCTATACAGCTTCAATTCCAATAACATGTTCCCAGTTCATCTATCTTACCCAAAGGCAAAGGATTTCTACATTGCCACAACACAAAATAACTGCTTTCTTACTTAGCTGAATGAGTTGTTTGTACTAGAGTGTTTTTCCTAAGTAGATTATGTAGATATGTGTATGTTTCCTAAGTAGATATATGCAAATTCCTAAGCAAAAAGGTTTTAAAATTTAAAAGCCTGGCATTTTACAATACACCGAGATCTGACACTGTATAGCATTTTCATCATAGAGAAAAAACAATTTTTAATTGGTAATTAGCATACAACTAGGGAAAAAAGTATTCCAGTACTTTGAACGCTAGGACACATATGTTTTCATACCATATTGAAACATATAGTCTCATTCCTTACTTGAATGCATGCCCCTAGAGAAAAAGACCAACTCAAACGAGTAAGTTGCACATAAACTTAAAGGGTATGGAACTGAAATCTCAAAATGACAAAATAAGGTCCAAACTTGCAAGCCCTTATACAAATGAATAGCCAGGTTCAAGCCAACTGCAGTTCCAACCTACTACAGAGAAGTAGTAAGATGCCTATGCAACTTCAATTTAAATACCAGGCTCCAAAGCACTGCATTCAAAACCAGCCTTAACTGTGCTGACAAACTTGAATATGTTTCAGTCGCTTAGGTTCTTAAAAAACACACACATAAGCCATCTCAGTCTCCATGAGTTAAGGATTTCAAGTTATTACTAAAAGCTGCATACATGCCCAGGGTGGTAAGCTCATTAGGTGTTCATTCATAAGAGGGAGCTTTAGCATACTAGGACAAGTTTTGAGAGAATTTTCAATTTATTTTTTTTAATAACTCCTTATATGACCATAAGCAAATGCCTTCCACCTGTAGAATCTTAAAAAGACATGGTTTGGCTCCAAAACCTGCCCAGGTTCACAGGATCCAGGACATATCTGTCACCAACTACATTGCAATTCTGCTGAAAATCATTACAATTTATAAATCTTCAATGACTGGGGGAAGAACGTCAACTGAAATTGCAAACTATAAAATCCATGACAATTGAGGAAAACAGGCTCACAACACAAATAATTCAGAAGGGGAGAAAAATACATACTTTTGGCTGTCTGGTTACAGACAGCAAACGTTCCCTTAAGTATGTATTACTGCAGTGGCAAAGCCAACTGAATTACTAGCTCCTGTCCACAGAAGATTTACAGCAGAGTTGTCTTCACAATACTAACACAAATTCGTTTTCCATCCTTTCTTCCAAGCATTAGAGAGTTACAGATGAGGATGACAGGATTCAGATACGGAACTCATTTGCTGGGAACTTTGCACAGTTGTGTTTGCAAGCGGAAAATCCTCCCTAGGATCAATATTATCCAAGACACGCTCACAGAGAAAGAACTTGAAATAAACTAGAGTTGCAGAAATTCCACATGGAGTTTTACAGATCACATCTGCTTTTTTTCTCCCTCCTCTTTTAGTCATTATTTCCAGTGGCTTACAGGAACAATATTACCATTTGCAAAAGATATTTCTACGTGTTCTTTCACCGAAAAGACTGATTCAGACAACATCTACCTCCTTGAGCTTTTTCAAAACACTTCATCACATTACACAGAATCATCCTATCTATGGTACAGACTGGAACCACTTCTGGCAGTGAAGCTAAGAAGCTAATTAAGAACGTACAGCAATATAAGACAGTGACTTGGCCAGGAAGAATAGTTCTCCTGGTCTTGTAAAAGGGACTTAAAGTAAGAAATGTACACATACAGAATACTGTTACTGTGGACCAGAATTAGAGCAGGACTACATAATAGGAAAAGCATTATAGACATATCCTATTGGCTTTCAGAACTACTGTTCAGTTGCAGTGTATTTCAGGGAATTGGGTTTTGTTAAACTCAACCACAGCAGAAAGCATTTCATTATGATTTGCAATGAGGCAGCTTGTGTCTAATAGCCTATTGGCAAGATTTGTAAGTACTACCCTACCACATTAACGGTTTCTTTCAACTCTAGAGATATTTACAGTGGTGGTGTTCCTTTTCATTAAGGAATTGTCAAGTTGATCATAAATATTTAGCACACTGAGCATTTTCATTTACTTCAGAATGCCAGGAGCACTAAACAGCCTGACTCCACCCTATGCTAGCAGTCAAAACATTTCACACACAACTTACAAAATCCTAGAATCCTTTAGGTTGGAAAAGACCTTTAAGATCATCAAGTCCAACCGTTAACCTAACCCTGCCACCCGACCACTAAACCATGTCCCTAAGCACCTCATCTATCCTTCTTTTAAATACCTCCAGGGATGGGGACTCGACCACCTCCCTGGGCAGCCCATGGGGCAATAAGGTCTCCTCTCAGCCTCCTCTTCTCCAGACTAAACAACCACAGTTCCCTCAGCCACTCCTTGTAAGCCTTGTGCTCCAGACCCCTCACCAGCTTTGTGGCTCTCCTCTGGACATGTTCCAGCAATGCAACGTCTTTCACATAATGAGGGGCCCACAACTGAACACAGTATTCAAGGTGCGGCCTCACCAGCACCGAGTACAGGGACATGATCACTTCCCTACTCCTGCTGGCCACACTATTCCTGATACAAGCCAGGACACCATTGGCCTTCTTGGCCACCTGGGCACACTGCTGGCTCATATTCAGCTGGCTGTCAACCACTGCCCCAGGTCTTTTTCCGCCAGGCAGATTTCCAGCCACTCTTCCCCAAGCCTGTAGCACTGCATGGGGTTGTTGTGACCAAAGTGCAGGACCCAGCACTTGGCCTTGTTGAACCTCATACCGTTGGCCTCAGCCCATCGATCCAGCCTGTCCAGGTCTCTCTGCAGAGCCCTCCTCGAGCAGCACAGGTCATACCTTCTCCCTACTCATTTGATACAGACCTCAATTCAGATGTTTATGAATTCAGACAAGGCAGAAATCACCTAGCTGCATTGCTTTAGGAGATCTGCATTTAAATATAACATCACCATATTGTACCAGCAGAACCAAGCACCAAATCAACTAGTCAGGCTACCATTTCAATTTCCATACTCAGACAGTCTTCCTTTGACAGAACAACAGTAGCAGGAGTACAGCTTGGTCCTTAGTGAAAATGCAGTTCTTGTCTCACCGAAGGTAAGAGTGCACTTCAGTAATCACAAGCTCCACCAACAGCTTGGACAGGAGAAAATAATTTTGTAGATTAACGATCAGAAAAAAGTAATTCAGCTCTTTCAATGATCAGTAGTGGCACACAACTGCACAAGACAGCTCAGACACAGGCTGGGTATGCAAAGCAAGCCATTGCAATGGATAATACTGCAATCACTCCCCAATTTCTTAATCCAGTTAGAACCACTTTACATGGTTGACTTGTTTGCTAAAAATAAAAACCAAACCACAATTGAAGACATACGAGAAGTTACACTTCAATAACATTTATTTCAAAACAAAATAACAATTTACCTTATAGGCTGAGGGTCTATAGGACAATCTAGTAGAAGAGTTACTCCAAGCAGGGGCACAGTTAGAGACGCAGCCAAAGTCAAGAAGGTAACACGGAACACCTTGCTGCTGTAAGTACTGCCAAAACCAGACAAGAAATAGCATTAACATGCTAAGCTGTTTTAAGATACAATAGTCTTTAAAAATTCTTTAACAGCCAATTTTCTTCACAAAAGGAACCAGAAATACTTTTGCCCAGCTACCATCTTGAATGATCTTTAAGGTCTATTTTATACTCGTCAGGATAAGAGAAACGGCTATTTATCCAGCCTCAGCATATTGGCATCATATAAGGCAAAGTATTCTCACGTACAGGTTTCATGCATGCTACAAATTACAGCTGTCTCAAAAAAAACCCAACCAAAAAAAACCCACCCAAGAAACAGGGGAGACATGATGTTATTTGGTTGGGTTTTTTTCTTAACTTGATCTTCAGTTTTGGCAATGGTTTCCATCCCAGCACAAATTTTAGATTAAAAGTTCAACTAAAACAACAAACATTAGAGGAAGTTAAATGAATGCTTGCTTAACTTAGTGAACATTGGTTTGAAACTCAAGCCCCGGCACACAAAAGAAATTAAGTATCTTCCATTTAGCCATCAAAACACACAACAAAAATGTAAAAAATGTTCTTGCAGAGGATAAAAACAGGTTTTGTTCTCAGCAAGTTTAGAGGCATCAATGAGGGATTTACAGAGGAAAGCACAGAGCCACAAATCCTAGCCTTGAACTGGAAAAGCAACTCCCACAATTTTAGCTACTCTGAACCATTCACTGGCACAGCCAACCAGTCTCCTCACAGTATCAATTAAATAAACACAAACAGTGCCTGATGGTTCTGCATTAATCCTTGGACCACTTCCACTGTTTTGTCCTTCATTAGCCAATCACCCAGACAGTAGGAAATATGAACTACTGCCCAGAGCACAAATATCACAGCTGTGTAGCTAATGACATGGACTTGCAGTACTGCAAGCATCAAGGTAACCTTTGGGATTATCAGCTGGAACAGCAAGGACAGAACCTGACCTGGATTTGGTCACTGCTTGCATGCACAACATATAGAAGTTGCAATATTCATAGTCCATCACAGCTCTTCCCTGATGGCACAACTGCTGCCAGCCCCTCTCTTCTGGCAGCAGACGTAGGTGGTCAGGACGACTGCCTGCCCCAGTTTCCCCAGCTCTGCACAGTACCCCATGGGCTATCACAAGCCTCCACACAGATCACCAGGCTGTGCTGAGGTGACTGCTACAAGGATGCTGACATCCTGCCATGACAAGAGCTGCCACTGCTGCTAGCCCAAAGCCAACAACAGTTCAGCCTGCTCCAAGAAGTGTTGTTAGCACTGCTGCTGTTGGTCACCAAACTTTCCCCAGCTCCCCCAGGGCACTCACCCCCCGAGCCTACTTCCTTTCCACCAGCATTCCCAAGTATTCCTGCTCTCAGATATATTAAAAAATAAACTTTATTTCTCACACTCACGAGCACAGCATTCCCATCGTGAACATCAGCACTGTTATATTAGCACTGAGTTGGACCAGGCTGGGAAACTGCTTCAAACAAGCTTTCTCATCTGCACGAACCTTTTCGTACTTCCCAAGGGCAAGACTGCCCTTGTAATTAATTAGAAGAAGTGAGCACTTTGTGCTTTAATAGTAGGTGACTCGAAGAAGCAACAACCTCCCAGTGTGTTTCCCCTTGGATTTGGAATAGAGAGCGGCTAGTAGAAACACAAGGCAATCCCCAAGTTCACACAAAGACTTCAGCTGTCAGCCTTGTCCTTCCACTGTCCTTCAAAAGATGAAGGCTCAACACTGTAAGATTAAAAGTACTGTCAGCAGACATCTGAGCATCTTTGTGACAGCTGAGAACAGCTCACACAAAAGGAAGCTATCTGCCAAAGTCAATTTAAATCATGCTTTCTGGAGCTTTAATTAAGTAAAGGTCATGTTTCTGATCCTCATTCAAACTTGCAAGGAATTGACAATAAAGGAAAAAGGCGGGAAGAATGAGGTGACAAGCAAACTCACACTTCAAGCCTGCAAACTGCAAGACCTATTTTAGACACTGCTTGAAACCACAAAAAATTTATAAATAAAACCCAAAAACTTAAAAAAAAGCATTAAAAAGTCAGCTATTCAGAATCCTTATAAAGGTAAACAAACAAAACATGCCTCATATAGAATAGTGGTAATTGTAAGTTACTGACCAGTCACTGGAAAGAATCACTGAATAATGGTTCACCAACACTAATAAGCAAAACAGAAATCCTTAGCTAATTGTGTCTCTGATAATTGATCCTACATGGACTCCAGCCACAAATCTCAATAACGCAACTTACCTGGACTCCAACTATAGTAACAGCAATTTAGTTGTCACTAAGAACTAAAAAGAGAAGCCATTGCACCAGCTCCTGAAGACAGACAGTAGGGTGGCAAGATGATACTATGGGTCACCATAGCCAGGAGTCCAGGCTGCCTCATCCTCTTGGCAGAACTACAGGGAGGGGGGGAGCAGAGGGGAAAGCAACTGTCATCAAGAGTTTCTGCCACAGCTCCCAGCCAGAAAAAGGGCAGCCTCCAGAATTTCTTCCACTGGTTTCATGCAGGACAGTCTCACGAGAAGAGGACCTGTGGATGCTCTGGATCATTGCTGGAGCCCTAGAAATTCAACTGATTTGAGCAAAGTTACCAAGAGAGGCTGAAGTCGGGAAGAGCAGTCTCTCAAGCTGAGACAAGCTGATGCTCTCCTTCAAAAACAGGTGCTACACATGCAAGCCACCATAGAGTCTTTCATTCTGGTGGCCCTGACGTGAACCGAAGTATTACAGGTCATCAGCTACTTTATTCAGTGGAAGGCAAAGCAAACACAACCACATTCTTACTGCAGCTATTGCCTTTAGTTACACTGAGGCCAACTTTTTATAAAATTCCTAAAAAGAAAATTATAAATGGAATCTAACTTAGCCACAAATAAATGGGCTGTTTATAAGGTTATTCTATCTCAGACACATATAGACTAGTCTTTAAACTGCAGATTACTCTTTACACAATTGCCAAATATAAACAGACTAACCAGTTATACCAGACTTAATCACACCTGCAAAAAAATCTGTGCAAGCCACAATGGGATAAGTATTATTTCTTGACTAGCAAAAGACAAACAGGACTTAAACAGACCCATTGGGGAAAAACAAACCAACCAACCAACCACAAATTAAACCGCTTTTTTGTTAAAAACTCTTCCTGCAGCTTGGCAGAAGCAGGTGTGTAGGCCCTGCCCCAAACCCTCTGCCCTCTGTCAGCTACCTCCAGCAGAAGCAGGAGCACTAAGCTGAGAAGCACCCGCTGC